CCTGTACTGCGCAGGCGCACGGAACAGCTCGCGGAGGCGCCCTCTGCCGAGTGGAGTGCGCGCCTCGCCCGACGCCCTTTATAGGTCAGTTGTGTATCGCTCGGCCCTTGGGGAAGAGCAGGAAGGGGGAGGGACCCTTGCCGGTACCGCCCCCAGTGCGTGCCACGTTCTCCCCTTCCCCAACTTCTATTGGCTGATTTCAAATATCGCGAGTTCTTGACTACGGTGCCGTGGCAACTACACTTGTTTTGCCCCGCCTTGTACGGAGTGGTTCTCAAAAACGCTTGGTTTGGAAGGTTCGGTGGTGATCCGGCCCGAGAAGGTCCAGTCCCCGTGCGCCTTTCAGCACTAGTGGACCTCAGTCCCTGCTCTCCGCCCGCGCCCCACTTGCAGTGCTTCCAATGCACCAGTTCAGCATCCCCAGAGGTTCGGCGGGAACCCCGGCGATGCCTCCTCTCTCCAGTTTCCCAGACACACACTCTTTTTCCCACATCTTTTTTCTGTTCTGGGGAGGTAGATACAGGAAAGAGGTAGTAGAGGAAGCTGAGAGAGAATCTAGGGAAAAGAATGAGCGAGGTAAGAAAAACGTGCAGGAGTGCGATGCTAGAGGAGTGCGAGAGGCTGGCGTCACAGGCGGGGCTGGGAGTGGGAGATGGGCGCAGCAGGGAGGATTTAAGTCCTTGACCTGTGGGAAGAAAACAAGGTCTCCCCTGAAAGTCTGTAACTGGCAGGACGGGTGCGGGTAAAGAAGAAGTCGAATCTCTCTGGCCACATGAGTTTGAAGGGAAGTGAAATCGGAAGCTTCCTATGTGGGGCAGAGGGGAAATGTGGGGCAACAATGAAATAATCTTGTGGGGACTTGGGGGAATTAAAAAGCCCAAATGCTTCCGCTTTCCTGTCAGGGACACCACCAGTTACTATCTTTTGCTCCGACTTGTGTTTCCTCCCCACCTCCCTTACCACTTCCTGGCTGTTCCATTGGGCTCAAGTCCCTGCCATCCCCGACCCACCTAGACCCACTTGGCTGTCCAGGCCGGTGAGAATCTTTTGTGAGTGATGTCAGAGCTTTGGGGGCTGATTGTTATGTAACCAGTATTAGGCCACCTAAGTGTGGAGGGAGGGCCTCTCCTATTGGAGAGGTCTGAAGGGAACATGGGGAGCTGGTGGGGGTGGCACACACTGGACAGTCCCAACTACTCAGCAGAGACGGGAGAATCACCCCACAAACTGGAGACCAGCTTGGACAACATGGTGAGCCTCCATCCCCACCCCAATAAATAGCCAGGCATGACAGCTCATATCTGTAATTGAAGCTATTCAGGAGGCTGAGGCAGGAAGATCGAAATCTTGAGGCCAGCCTAAGCAACGTAGTGAGACTCTGCCTCAACAGTGTTTGGGGTTGTAACTCAGTGGTGGAGCACCCTGGTTTGATCCTCAGTACTGGGAGGGAATAAGGACTGGGGTGTAGCTTCGTGGTGGAGTATTTATCTAGCACTAACAAGGCCCTGAGTTCAATCTCTAGTACCAAAAAACCCTGAATCAAAAACCCAAAACAACAAAACATTAATGTATGGAGCTGGGGGGTATAGCTTAGTGCTTGCTGCCTTGTGTGCACAAGGCTTTGGGTTTGGTTCACATCATTGTAAATAATAATAAAATCGCTAGGCACGGTGATGCATACCTGTAATCCTAGCACTGGGGAGCCTGAAGCAGAGGATCACCAAGAGAGGCTGGCTGGGGCTACATCTACATAGTGAGCTGTAATAATAAGTGCAGTGTGATGGTGCAACGCCTATAATCCAGTCACTCAGGAAGCTGAGGCAGGAGGATTACCAGAAGTTCAAGGCCGTCCTGGGCTACATAGTGAGTTCCAGGCCACTCTGAACGACATAACAAGACCCTATCTTAATAATAATAATGATACTACTACTACTACTAGTACTACTACTACTACTACTACTACTACTACGAACCTGGGGGCTCAAAACCCTCATGTCCATCTTTCTGGATTTTGAGAAATGTGGAAGCCTGGTAGGCTGAGCTAGGCCTTCATATTAGGGGAAGACGGGGTGGCAGGCTGGGAACACACAGGCAGGAAGCAGATCTGAGAATGAGCAGTACTGCACACTGGGTACCTGAGCCAGGTGGGCCCCAGAGAGGACCAAGTAGGAGGTTTGGTCACCCACTTCTCATAGGATAGATCTCTACCTTTGAGACACTATCTGCTGCCTTCCTGCCTTGCTCCCTAACCATTAGAGTGGATTTATTTCACTCCTGCCTGCTGTCCTAGCTCCCTGACTTACTGCTTTTACAGTATTTGGTATTTCATTAATTTTCCCCCCATCAATAATCAGAATAGGCCGGGTGTGGTGACGCACGCCTGTGATCTCAGCACTTGGGAGGCTGAGGCAGGGGAATCATTATGAGTTCTAGACCAGCCTGGGCTACATAGTGAGTTCCAGGTCAGTCTCAACTACTTAGGAGACCCTGTCTCAAAAAAAAACAAAACAACAACAAAAAAATCACAACAGAACACAGACTTTTTTGGGTAGGGGGATGTTCTCAAAAGGAGGTATTGATGCCCCTGGGCAAGGGCTGTCATCAGAGGCTGTGTGCCAACTGGTGATTTGCAGCCTCCAGTGGGCCCAGGCCAGACTTCCTGGGTGAGCCTTAAAGCCAAAGGACTCGTCTTCTCCATAGCAGAGATGAAGGGTCCTCCCCGGAGATGTCATTTCTGGGCTGGTCCAGGGAAGAGCCTGAGGCAGAGGACCCTAAATGAGATAGTTGTTTAGTTGTGTGAGTGACTGTGCCAAAGTCTGTCCCCTGCAACATGCACATTGACCCACCGTGGTTGTTACATCTTCCCAGAGCCCCAGGGAGGGCTGTGCTGGGAAAACCAGCTCCAGAAAACTGAAAACAAAATGTTCCTGGGTTATTTATAAATGAAACTAGGACCCTGTTGTTCTCTGTGTCCATTCTTGACTTTCTTCAATGAGCCCAAAGGACTAGAAGAGGATCTCCCTCCCTCCCGGGTGAGTGAGGCTTTAGGGCCTAGAATTAGATCCCCCAGCAACCCAGAGCCGGGCCACTTCCTTATCCTGTGTTGTCCGAAACTGAAAACACCCTTTCTTTCCTTTGTGTTTTTTCCCACTTGCTGTTTGGTGGAAAAGTTTTGTGAAATGTGAATGAGCCATTTCAGTTTTGCTTCCACTTCTATATAACTGTCTGCCTGGCTCCTGGGCAGACGGGATCATGGTTTTCTCTCAGAAACCACGCCCATCTCCCCTCACTGTGGTTTCCTCTTCCGTTAACTGGCACACTTGCAACATGGAGCCTGTTGGGTCTCCTCAGAGCCAGCCCTTAGCCAAGAGAAAGGGCTCTTCTGCCTCCTACCCTCTGTCTGACCAATAAGTGCAGTCCCTTGGCAGCCTGGTCTGGGGATGTCTACAATGTCCCTAAAGAAAACATTTTTTTTTTTAAGGGGAGTTTTTCTCCAAATATGGCAGAAGAATCAGGCTGGAAAAAGCCAAAAAACACATAGGATTCTCCCTGAGATGAGAAGTGGCTGCTTATCCTTTCCACAGAGAAAGTTTGTGTATAAACCTGGGTTTTTGTTCTTGCAGTCATGAGAAAATTTGGCCAGCACACCAGTTTTGCCAAAACAAGGTAAAGAATGGAGGAGGTAGCTGGGCACGGTGGTGTACACCTGTAATATGTATGCCTTGGCTTCAAGAGGCCAAGGCAGGAGGCTCACAAGTTCAAGCCCAGCTTGGGCAACTAAGCACTTTAGTGAGACCCTGTCTCAAAACATTTTTAAAAGTGCCGGGGAATGTGGTGCACACCTAGCACTTGGGGGGCTGAGGCAGGTGGGTTGCCACCAGGGTCTGGTGTTCAGCGACCAGCTTGAAGCAGCCCAAGCTGAGAGAGAAGCTGGGTCTGCAGAATCTGACCACCTGAAGCTGTGAGGTTGGGCAGTTGAAAAAACAAAGGTAGTTTCAAAGCCACGTTCCCAGGCACAGGCCGGAGTGGCCCCAGGAAGCACTCGAGCCCTCTGTGGGCCCTTTGCTCCCAGGTGACAGGTGTGCTCGTTTCCCAGGGCGGCACGTGATATGCACTTATAGCTACAGAGAGACCTCTGAACACTCTGGTGAAAGAACCACAGTTTGAGTGCTAGGCCAGTGTTAGGGTTTATGTCCAGATGTCCCTCTACAGCCTCCTGTAATCACAGCGGGACCTTTGGAAGGTGACTAGATCATGGGGCTTACAGCTGACTTGCTTTAGCAGCTGAGGGTGTGGCCTGGAAGGGTTTATCTCTTTCCACAGCTCCTTGATTCTCTGCTGTCTGGATACCTTGTCATGAGCAGCTTCTCCACCATCTCCTCCTGCCTTTCCTTCCAGTCCTGGAGCCAGTGGACTGTAGGCTGACCCTTGTATAAACTGAATAAAGCTTTCTTTAAATTGATAGCGTAGAGGGCTGCGGATTTAGCTCAGTGGTTCCACTGCCTGTCTCCCAAGCACAAGGACCCAAGTTTGAACCCTGGTACCAAATAAATAAATAAAAAAATTGCTGGTGTCGAGCCAGGCGTAGTGGCATGGGTCTGCACTCAGGAGGCTGAAGCAGGAGGATTATCATGAGTTTGAGGCCAGCTGGAACTACGTAGGGCGACCCTGTCTCAAAAAAAACAAAACAAAAACCACAAAATAGCTACTGTGATAACGTCAGGGGAACCTAGCAGGGTCCTGGGGTGCTCCTTGTCCTGCGTGGATGAAATGGTAGGTGTGACCCCGATGTCCCCCAGCTTCAGTAGCCTAACAGGATAAATAAGGTGCAGCGCTGCCGCCCCAGTCGCCATGGTCTGAGCCCATCTTGTGTGCATGGTCTCTGCCCTCCACATGTCCCCTCCAGGTACGTCAGTGGGGTGTTTTGCCCTCCCTGTCCCGCTGCAGCTGTGTCTCCCTCACCATGGCCTCTCCCAGCCCTCATGGCTTGCAGCTGCCCAGACAGCGTGAGCCCCCCGGAGGCTACCACAGGGGAGGAATTCTGTGTCACACTCAGTGTCAGGGCTCAGGGCCCAGCCCATTTTCAGACCCTGCCTCTCACGTGCACACGCCAGTAGGGGCCACACCTCCTGCCCAGGGCCACCCCCAGGGCCCTCCTCTGACCTCTTGTCTCCGTCCCCCATTCACGTGTCTATGCAGGTCGCCCGGGGCGGCCCCTGAGCAGCCTCCATGGCTCTGCCCACAGCTGTGGTCTCGTGATGCCCTCTTGGTCCAGCATCTTCACTGCGCCCTGAAGTACACACAATGGTGTGAGCTCATCTGAAAGGCACCGGAAGCCACACCCTCCACCCCGGCCCAGTCTGCTCAGGCCCAGTACCAGCTTCTAGCAGGATTCTGGGAACCTCCAGGGGCTCAGCGTTGGGACCAGGCCTGTCTCCTGCTCTTTCAGTTGGGTCCCCTGTCCCTTCTGTGACTGCCCCCAGCACTTCGCTTTGCCCTTCAGTCACTGTGGTGGGCAGCACTGCAAGATGTCGCCAAGTTCCCCCATCCCTAGGGTACACACTCGGTAGAGCCCTGGTCCTGTGAAAAAGGTGGATGAAGCCTGTGGTGTGTTGTGCTCAATTGCAAAGCTGCTGTTACTCAGGAGATTGGGCCCCTGGGCTGAGCTACTCACATGAGCTCCTTGCCGGTTACAGATTCTGTAATCCCAGCATTCAGGAAGGGAAGGCCGGAGGGTCACAAGTTCCAAATCCAGCCTGGGCAGTTTACTGACTTAGAGAGACCCAGACTAAAAGAAAAAATAAAATGGTAGGAGCTGGCTAGAGATGTATCTCAGTGTGAAGAATGCCCTGGGTTCACTCCCCAGTACCTCACAATAGGTAGGAAGATAGATAGATAGACAGACAGACAGATAAAACACTGACAAATAAGAAGCTAGGGATGATGGTGAACACCTGTAATCCCAGCACCGTGGGAGGCTAAGGCAGGAAGATGGCAAGTTCAAA